CGAAATATAAAATTTAATTTAATTTCTCAGTGTGAAGTGAACGTCTTCGATCCATAAACTACAACAAAAAACACAGGTCCGGTAGACAGCTTGGCACGTGTTTCTGGCTCATTAGGCAACACTTGGTTGCAAGAAACAGCATAAATGCATGGATTCATCAACAGAAGCCAGCCCCAAATTGTGGTTTCGGTTGAGTCAATTTGTGTTGATGAATTGTAAAATATTTTTCTTAAAACTCAAAATCCAAGTATAACAATATGTGCATGAGGCTGAGCATATCAAATGATATAACCGACAAAAAACCAAACTTGATAAATCAGTAATTATTAAAAAAACAATACAAACCATACATGAAAAACCACACCACCCAATGATCTGCAGCATTCAAAAATTGTTTTAACGCCCCATTTATTCTATAACTTAAATTATCACAATCTTGACTCCAAACGGCCAAGGGTCCTAATAATGAATGCCGCCAAAATGAAAAAAAATTGATGACATCTCCCTCTGAGAAGATGTATGTCATCTATGAGGTCGACAGAAGTTTCAATCATCAAATATCAATAATAAATGATCTGCAGAGAAAGATTGATGCCCGATTTTGTTGGCTTGTCGATGTTGAACATTGTTTTTGAAAATGACCGCCTGGGGAGCGTCGTTTATTTTTGAAGTACGAAAATGTAGTGTTTTGTCGATCGCTTATAGGTTTCTTCTGGTTCTACGAAATTCAGGTTCTAGGACGTCAAGATCATGCGCAGTTGATATAGAGCGTTCTGGTTTATTGAGGATAAGTTCGGATTGATGAAGCCTCTGTTCTGGCTTTGACTGCGAAATGATCCTAAAGTGTCTTGAACCTTCCGAATCGTTCTTGCTCTCGAGGCTGAACTGTTGAGAACTGTTTTCATTGCTTATGCGCATTCATGTGGAACATTGTTTGGGCTATTAACTAAAATGTTTTTATTTATTTCATTCAAGTAACTGATGATTGACGTTGGATAAATGGACATGATCAACAGTATTTTCTCGTCTTCATCTCTTTATATATACGATAGGTGGCACAGTGGTCTCCTCAAAATGAGTTCTAGTTTAATCAAGTGTCCGAGACTATTTCGGACTGTTTGAGATTTTTTGTGTGTACGCATCATGTCTTGCGCAGTTTCTAAACAGTTTCGGATGTTAGAACCAGAAAAAACCTATTGATGGTTTCTTTGTAAGAATATAGGTCAACAAGAGATGTCAACACCTTCACTTTCAAAGTTATTTTTTTCGGGACAGTTGAGTGGTTCAGCCTAGCACCACAGATGAGACTTTAGCGAGTCGGAAAAGATCTGTCTGGTGGTGGATCAGAAATTCATCAAGTAAACACATGTTCATTTTATTTTCAACCAACAAAACATTATGCAATTCTCTGTTCAAAGCAGGTACTGATAACTAATATGTTTTAATTTTTTTTTCTCCATAGGTATGCTTACTTCGATCCTCCAGAAAGGACCCAGGGTACAGCGGATTCAGAAACCGGATTTTTCAATGGCATTATTGGTATCGTATGGAGGAGGGTAATGTAAACCATAGATAGTATATGTGTAAGAAATACTGCCAAATGAATATTTTAGGAAGCGGATCTTTTTCTCGGTGATGTGGAAATAACTTACGAAAAGTCAAATTTTGTGGAATTTTCATTTATAACTTTAGCAGATAGTGGGGCGTTTGTCACACATGCTCCTAGTAAACTCAATGAAGCTCTGGCTCTTTTAAGGCCATTTCAGTGGCAAGTGAGTATACCTACATATGAATCCTTTGAAGTTTTGGATAATAAAACTCAATTAGACGTTTCTTTTACTGATTTTCGTAAAGCTTTTGATCAGCTTCATCATGATATTCTGATAGAAAAGCTTAGTAAAAATGGAATTTCAAGGAACTTTTTAGAACTAACGACAAAATATCTTCAAAATCGGTTTTTCATTGTCAAACATAATGAAAAATCATCTCCTTGAGAGAAATCACCTTCAAGAAAAAAATGTTCACTTTAATGAAATGAATAAAAACACCTTTGTCTAATTATCACTGGTTGATTTTATTTATACAGCCGGTTTTGAGTTTGACTCTATTATCAGTTTCATACTTGATAATGGGGTCAAACCCGAAACCGATCGTAGGTATAAATAAAATCAACTAGTGGTAATTACACAAAGGTATTTTTATTCATTTCATTAAAGTAATCACGAATTACCACTAAACAAACAAGCCATCAATCACACATAATACTCATTTTACTCGTTTAATATGGCTGCTAACCTCTTGTCACTTGTCTGCTCTGTGTACGAAACTCAGAATTTATTTGAAGTTTCTAGCAAATTTATGTATGCCTTTTTACACGTTTTCCATCCGTTTCAAATCGAACAGTAAATCTCACGGTAGTTTCATTTCGATTCCAGCTAAAAACGTGGATGAAAAATAGCCTGTTGTTTCATCGACTGCGTGCAGTAAGTTGGGAGTAATATTATTCACGACTTTCAGGTTTGGCCAGCAATAGGACTAACCTGTTTTATTGTGGGACCAGTACTATACCTCATCATCGCTCTACCAAACTTTTGGCAACCCAGATTCAGAGTCAGATCTCACTCCAGAATGTTTTTCGATTGTACCTGGTTCGCTATTACCATCCTGTTGAAGCAGAGTGAGTATTATTTGTGAAATAGTTCAATATCACAATATCATTTTCAGCCGGACGGGAACCAAGTTCCAGCCACAAATCACGATTCTTCATCATTTTGTTGTCAATATCAGCGACCTACGTTATTAGTGATATGTACTCCGCGAATTTGACTTCACTATTGGCAAGACCTGGTAGAGGTAATACTTCTTGATACTCTTTAGAGGGTTCTTAGTTCTGAAGAAAGTTCACTTCACTTGAAATTCGAAGATAAATTCTAATTTTTTTCCTCAGAGAAAGCAATCAATAATCTCTATCAACTGGAACATGCGATGGAAACAAGAGATTTCAAATTATTTGTTGAGAAACACGGTTCTTCGTATGGACTTCTAGAGGTGAGATAACTTCTACTACGCTACGAAAAAACGTATTTCTAATTTTTGACATCACTCTTGCTAACACGAAAAAGTCATCATCCATTATTTCTTCCATTACTACGCTCATAGTAAATCAAAGGTTTCGTCTGAAAACATACGACTTCAAATTTTTATTGACCGAAATATTAGGATGTGTAAAAACATTTCAATGATGTCAAAAAAATTTGGAAAAATAAATAATGAGTCTGAAATGTAAATATACGAATTTGCAAAAAAAACAAATTATAGTAATTTGAAATAGAATTAATAAAAAATGGACCTAGATTAGATAAGTGAAAATAATACTATTCCTGAATTCATTATAATTCTCAATTTCCTTGATTCGTTATTGAAGATTGTTGTATATAGCCTCAAGCATTTATATTAAAGGTAGTTGTATATTTTTGAACAGTCCTTCACAAGCAGTTCTTTACAAGACTATTTCTAGGTATAGGCAAAGTTGAAAATCAAATGTTGGGAAGATTGTGTTGGGACGATCCTGCATATACAGTGTGTCTTTTCATGAAAGCACCTCCGTTACTTCCGTATTTATCAAAGTAGATAATGAAACTCGCAGGATTGATGGAATTGCTTCAAATACACTTACTGACTAACTGAATGGTGTTACACTGCCCGCCAGTCGTGATGGTAGAACCTATTTTTACGGTAAATTATATTAGGGGGCAAAATAGGCTAAAAATGCCTTTAAATTCGTGATCAGAACCTCCTAATCTCTACAGGTAACTACACGTTTGTCCTGAAAAAATATATGCCTTGAAAAACCCAAATTCGTCTCACTTCTGATGGAAGCACTCCGGTATCTTCCGTGATTGTTGGCGTAGAATTGAGTAATTAACGGAATTGAAGGATATACCAAAAATAATTTCCACCTGAATACTTCAAGGGGTGTCCAAGGAAAACAAATGAAGATTACTATTACCCAACAATATTGTTGATAGAGCGTATTGAATTCAGTCTCAGATCCTCGTGTTGATTCTATTATTGTTGTTGCTGTTGTTTTTGTTCATGTTGATCCTATTGCGATCCTGTAGTTTGTGTGTTCCTGCAAGTTTTTTTCTGATAGATATCTATTAATTTTCATATTGATTTAGTATAAAACATATTCCGACGAACTATAGAAGAGAAAATTAAAATTATACTGATGATAAGGGAAGGTGCGGAGGTGTTATCGCGAAGCAACTCTGGAATATTTTCCAAAATTTACAGCCAGTTCAAGAGAACCGGCCAAGTAATGAACCTAACCTAAATTTTTTCATACTTTACGCGGTGGAGACGAACAAAGAAGATTAGAATACTGTTTGTGGGCACAAGGCAATTACTTGAATGACAGTAACTTCTTGAAAAATATAGTATTTAGTGATAAGGCGACTTTCACCACTAATGATGTGTTATCGTCTCAGAATTTGAGATATTGGGTAGACCAAAATGCGCACTAGGTGGTGAATTGTCGAAATCAAATATTCCAAAAAGAAGAAAGTGTAATGTGGGATACTACATGAAAGATTAATAGGATCATTTCCATTGAACAAAATCTGAATGGAGAATTGTTGGTTCATTTTCTGAAAGAATTGCCTTTGAATTTAAGGAAATGAATAATTTTTCAGTTGGACGGTTCATCCGTTCACAAATATGGGACAAGCAGAGAATGGCTCAACTGAAACCTACCTAGGAAGTGGATTGGACCTAATAGCCCTCTCGTGATGTGGCTCCCACTTTCGCTGATCTCAGCGCCTACACTATCATTTATGGGGATCCTCAAAAAAAATAAAGTGTATAGAAATAGGACCACTACTCGTGGATATCTCTGCGCGAGAATGATCGAGGCATGCCAGGAAGTTACACCTGGCAAACTGAGAAAAATGGTTGTGAATAATAGAAAATGAATAGAAAAATGAATGTATTCTCGTCGAGGGAGGACTCATAGAAGGAACAATTATTTGAATTTTGTGAATCCGAATCAATATAGAATTTTCAGTTTCTTCAATATCTTTTCTTCGTCATTGTTGAAATTAGTGATATTTATACATAGGAAACATGAGAACTGTCTTCAACTATTTGCAGTTGGATTTTTCTCAACTCTGAAACTTCATTTTTGGAATTGACTTTGAATTGTGCAATTGTATTATCTTATCTTTATAAAATTGTATTATTTTTGCAGTTGATTTCTAATTTCATTGCGTGGCTTCCAAAGAGCAACATTATCATCAATTATTTTTCTGGATAATCAAGTAGACAAATTTTCAATAAAAATCAGATATTTCCGTTTCAAAAGTTAGTGATTATAAATAAAAATACATGACAAGTGAAATACATGAATATGAACAATATCTTGTTCTTTGTTAAATGTTTCGAAATTATTTCGAAACATGAATGAACATTGGAAAATATTCGATTGTTAACGCAAATGACTTTTTAAAATTAAAATGATCTTACTGTGATGAACGAACTCCTCTTAATGTACGTATCGTCAAGTAAGAATTGAATTCAATTTTAATCAAACAATTAAGATTTCTGATTGGTGCAGAAATATATTTTAAAATTTGTTGTCGGCAGTTCCATTGCGACTTGCGGTCGGTGTATAGAACTTAGGTCGACACTACTGAACCAGTAGGTGAATTTTCAATATTTCAAACAGTCCTCGATAATAACAGAAGGTACGGGGGTGCTTCCATGAAAAGTGAAACAAATTTGATTTTTAGGGCTGAAATTTTTTCACGAAAAAGGTGTACCTGTAATAATTTTGGAGTCCCGATCAAAAGTCTGAAGAAATTTTCAGTCTATTTTGCCCCCTACCATGATTTACCGTCAAAATTGTTTCTTACACCACGGCTGGCGTGAAGTGTATATTACTTAGGTCAACACCATTTAGCTGGTAAGTGTATTTTCAGCATTTTCATCATTTCTGTGAGGTTCATCATTCTACCTTGATGATTACGGATGATACGGGGGCACTTCCATGAAACAAGACAAATTTGGATTTTTCAGAGCTAAATTTTTTTCAGGAAAATGGTATGAGTACGTTTAGTAATTTGGGGGGTTTTGATTACAAATCTGAAGGAATTTTCAGCCTATTTTGCCTCCTAGTATGATTTACGGTAAAAATGGTTTCTTTCATCGCGAATGGCGTGCAATGTATATTACTTAGGCCAACATCATTTAGTCAGTGAGTGTATTTTCAACATTTTCATCAATCCTGCGAGTTTCATCATTCTACCTTGATGATTACTGAAGTTGCGAGGGTGCTTTCATTAAAAGTTAGACACACTGTAGATCACGGTGCTTATGTTAAAAGTACGGTGTTTACAAAATGAAAATAGAGATCACTATTAGGATTCGGTAATTTTTGAATTATACTTTGCACAAATATCGACTCTCAATTCTGCAAAGGACCCTTATAGCTCTTTTTTGCACAACCTGGACCATATTCATTAAAATTTTATTGAATGTACCCCAAAAAGCAGTTGCATAACCCCTACGTGATTCAATTAATGCTCGTCAGTTTTTGCAGCTGCTAAACCTACTTTTTCATTTATGACACTAATGACACAACATCCAGAAAGTAATTTTTTAGACAGTTTTGAAACATGTTCTTTGAGGAAGAGTTTTTGGCTTTCTACTACTCCATCTTGATACAAAAAAGGGGAATGAGGGAATTTTCCAAAGAAAGGAAGGAAGTAATCAATTTGAAAATAAGTAACTCTATACATGGATGTGTAGATCATGCAAAGAAGTAACTTTCAGACACAAACTGAAAGAAAGTCCTCCTGAAACAGCTACTTCCATATAAACATTGAATTACACGAAAGAGAAAAAAATTCTTTCGAAACAAATACTTCTATACGAATACTGAATTATACAGAAGATGCTTTTTTCTACTCAGTTTGTATTTCAAACTTTCGTTGTGGAATAAAAATCATATATCATTCACATGAGTTCTACTTTGAATGAATTGTAATAAATTGCACTTACATGGAACACTGTCACCCTCACTGGTATACACCGATGTTTCGCCATGAGACACTTGCCCCAAGGCTCTTCAGTACCAAATTGGATTAACATTATAGAAAATACACACAATTCAATCATGAATTACGATTGAGGGTGACAGTGTTCCATGTAAGTGCAATCTATTACCATTCATTCAAAGTAGAACTCATGTGAATTATATCTGATTTTTATTCCACAACGAATGTTTGAAATACAAACTGAGTAGAGAAAAGTATCTTCTGTATAATTCAGTATTCATATGGAAGTAATTGCTTCAATAGAATTTTTTTTTCTTTCGTGTAATTCAATGTTTGTATGAAAGTAGCTTTCTTTCAGTTTGTGTCTGAAAGTTACTTCTTTGCATGATCTTCACATCCATGTATAGAGTTACTTATTTTCAAATTGATTACTTCCTTCCTTTCTTTGGAAAATTCCCTCATTCCCCTTTTTTTGTATCAAGATGGATTAGTAGAAAGCCAAAAACTTTCTTTCTCAAAAATTAATCACTCCTAAAAATATAACCCCTTCAATTCAAATGTTCTTTGAATTTCAAGCTATTATCAATATGAAGAACTGAAAATTTCCTGCATGGAGAATTGTTAAAGAGTCGAATTAAGCATTACGGTCTTCAGTTCATATCTGAAGGTAAACAAATCAGTTTTGTGGATATTGAGTACGAGAAGATTATTGCCAAACCAGGTTTTTATTATTTCAAGATCATATTGTATGTCATTCCGTAAAGAAGCTCCATCAATATTGAGCCAAAATATAGTGGTTTCATCTGCAATCAACTTGAACTTCCCAGATATATTCGAATGAAATATTGTTGAAATCAATGGTGAAAATAAAACAGGGCACAATACCGAACCTTGGAGCACACTGCTCCAGTCCGTGAATACTGGTCAGTTTTTACCAATTGGCAGCGATTCTCTAGGTTAGATTTAAACCACCGCAATCTAACTCCTCTGGAACACTAATATTCAAGTTTCTTCAGCAGAATTCGGTGATTTACGCAAAGCCTCAGTTTGGTCCCAAAATACTGAACACTGGCCTGACTGAATGTGTCGTTATTCAATTTATACAATATATAATTTCCGTTTGATTCAGTGTTTAACACGATGAGTTAACACGATAAGAAACCTGCTCGATTTGCAGGTTTCTTCTCGCTGGGTGTTCTTCTTATGCTCGCCAGGACTCGCCACATTTATGTGGTACTCAGTAAATGCAAATCTTATAGTCTGCTTTGGTGTATTTGTTCGCATGGGGATTCTGTGAATAGTGTGCCCGGATCTGAAGCAGTTCCTTAAGTTGTACTCGGATCCAATTTCAATCACCTTCAGCAGTCGTTTGACGACTGCTTAAGGTCGTTTTTGAAGTGGCACAGTTCAATACCAAGGCTTCTCTTTGTATTGCAAATACTGAAAGGATTACTCTGTAAATTCGTAATTCAGCTACTGTTTCGTGTAAGTGAATTGTATGTAGTACAAAACTCAACTGACCAGGAACTGAAGGTAAAAAACCATAAATCCCAATGTATGTTCGCCGAATGGACTCTGGAACAGATGGCACTAATTTTATCGAAAAATAATCTTCAGCGAATAGGCCCATTTCTGGTCGAATGGGTATGTGAACATTTTCGAACTTGGGACTATACCAATATACATGAGATCCAGGAGCGTCCAATGCATCCCGAAAAAGTCACTGTTTGGTGTGGATTTTGGGCTGGCGGCGTCATGGGTCCATATTTCTTTGAGAACGATGTTAGTCAGGCCATCACTGTCAATGGCGAACACTATAGGTCGGTCGATGATTACCAACTTCTTTTGACTTTAATTGGATGCTTTGGACACTAACGATATGTGGTGCCAGGACGGCGCAACGTGCCACACAGCTCATGCCACATTAGATATTCTGCACAAGCGATTTGAGGGCATGGTCATCTCACTTAAAGGTGATGTGAATTGGCCACCAAGATCGTGTGATTTGATCCTGTTAGAATTTTTCTTGTGGGTTTTTGTAAGTCGCAGGTCTATGCGAATCGGACACAAACCACAGTGGTCCTCAAAACCAACATAACCTATGCCATCAGTCAAATTTAGCCCGATTTATTCGCCAAAGTCATGGAAAATTGGATATCGCTATGATATCGCTAAGCGATGAAATGTTTCTTCTGACTGGTGATTAAATTAACAGGAATGAAATCGACAGCCATTTTTACGAATACCGCTCGATATAAAAATGTTCACACATGAACATCAATTTTATCAAAGTCAAACTCGAGCAACACCAATCGAGTAAGCAGAAACATGAAACCACTCGTCATACAAATTCGCAGTTGCTCTCATCGTATTGAGAAATGTAAATTTATCGATACAGTTCCGAGGTTATGAAAAATTATTAATGAAAACCAGACAATACATCAATTGACTGATTTTTCTGATACTAAATTTGTAGTGATAATATTTTTGATTTTCGTTATTTTCGTATGAAATTGAATCGCTCTTTGTTCTGCCACAGTATGCAAGTCACTGGTAACCAATAACAGGTTTTTTTTTTTTTTTTCTTCCAATATCATAGACTTTTTTCATGCTCCAAATATTTTCTTCATATTCAATTGCTTATTGCGTTCCCTTCAACTCAAACTCTTCTACTCCAAAATGGATCACTTATTTTTTTCCAACCAAATGTCCACGTGGTTTCTCATGTAGCATATCTGAGTTGATTTTCTTTGTATATCGCTATTTTTAATTCAATTACTACTCCTCTCCACCATATCTTCAATTGCAGTTGGCCGGTCACAAGTCTATGGTTTGATATTGTTTCTATTTGTTTCCTGATCGTTTGTATTATCGAAAATTATAGGTAATAATAAACTTTTCCTATTCTCCTTCACTTATATTTTAAATAGTCGTGTAAATCAATTGTTAAAAATATTTCCTTATTCTTCATATTCACCTATTTTTCACTCACATATTTTTTTCCAGAATGGAACTGGTGTCTATGCAAATTTGTGGAATCTGATGCGAAAAAAACAAGGAAACAACTTTTTGATAGAATCTGTTGAAGCGGGAGTCAAATTGGTCAGACATTCGACCACTAATGCAGTTATGGCTGGTAGAGAAACACTATTCTTTGATATTCAAAGATTTGGTGAGTAAAAGTTGTATTTGAAAAGTTAATAACCCGAAAAAGGTTACCAACAATTGGTCGCGCAAAAAATACCGCTCACAATTGGGTGCGTGGGTGAGTTATAAGACACTTCAGAAATCAGACTTCCAGATTCAATTTTAAGGCAATTATACGATTTCAGGTCCCGGTAATTTTCACCTTAGCGAGAAGTTGAATACTGCGTATTCTGCAATTGCTTTGCAACTGGGATGTCCATATATCGATGAAGTGAACAGAATGTGAGTTTATGTGTTCTCTTTTTTCCTATAATCCGGTCAAGTTCCCATTTTTTTATAACGTCAAATGTTCAATTTGGAAAACACGTAAAAAATGTATTGAATTAGGAAATTAATAAATGAATGATAATGTATTATTTGGTTCAATTCGACACGTAAATAAAATTGCAACATTTTCACAAATAATACTTCAATTAGGCATCCAAACGAATGAGTATTCAGACATTTCATAGGTGCATATATGTTTGTATATATGTATGTCCACCAACGCATTTTTCCGAAACTATTGGTCAAATTGTGACCATTTTTTATGTTTTACTTCGTTTTAGAGTACGGTGTGAGTTTTATTAGAATTGGTTCAATAGTTTTCGAAAATTAGCAAGATTTACTAATAAGAACTGAGGGTTAGTGTCAGAGAGAAAACATCTCAAAGCCTTGATCAAATACTAGTGCTAGTAAGAGAAAATTGAAATGACCGAAACCAAACTACCTTCAAGGCAAGAACTAAAAAAAATACAGTAACATTTCCAGGCCACTTGGTGCGAGTGAATAGAATTCAAAAGTAATTGAATATATCAAAATAAAATCAACATAAAAAACAAAATCAAAATTTGGTACGGAATGAATGAGAATCCTACAATTTCTTCTCGGAGCAGTGCCAGCCAGCACTTGGAAAAAATTATCTATCAAATATAAAATCGTCGCTCGATGGCTTTAGTGGCACCAGCTTCAAAAATAACTGGAAGCCTCCAATTGGCTCTTCATTTCGTTCTGGTCATTCGAGTTCATATATCTATAAAAATATCATTTCATAATTTTCATTTAATTTCTCTTTGAAATCACTTTTTTACTACAATAAATGTACGTAACACTCTCCATTTAGTAAATGCAGGAAAGATGAAAGGGTATCATTAAACTTGTCAAAAAATATATAGAGGTTTTTGTATGGAGAGTTCGCATTACTGATCTGAGGAAAAAAGGATAAAAAATATATATTTTGTAGCTTTTTTTGTGAACCCCTCAATCCAAATAAGCATCAGCATAACATATTCAGACAATTGAAAGAATTTGAAAAATAAGATTTATGTTCATCGACAATCTTTCTGGAATCAATTACTATGTCAGAAATTCAGAATTTTATTGATAATTAGGATCTAAAAGAGCGACAGCCGTAAATAAAATTTCTGTCAAAATGGTGAAGGTAGTGGAATGTCAATTAGAACGTATTTGTTCTATTTATTTGAAATTTGAAGAATCTTTTGAGAGTGAAATTTTTCCTGAAAAAATGAAAAGATGTTTTACCAATATCCAAAAACGGCAAGAAGAGCTGCTTGAATAATCACAGGCCCATTTCTGTTTTATCGGTATTCTCAAGAAAATTGGAGAAAATGATGAATTTCAGGTTGAAACTTTATTTTTGCTTTCACAAGAAACATTACCTGTCCATAATAGGAAAATTCTAACTCAAAACGGGTTCGAAAATATATAAGCATGTGCAAAAATAAATTATCAAATGTGAAACGTGAACATGTGAACACAGTTTTGTAAACTGTCTGGTGAAAATCTCACAACAAAGTTCAACTTGAATACGTCAAGGATTCCATTATAGATGTGAAAATAGGTGATATTCACCTAATGAATATTTTTTATGAGTACTTTGAATTTTGAGACATGTTTCACGTTTTCGAACTTGGCTAGCAGCTCATCATAAATTATTACACCATTATGCAAAATGCAACGTGTTTGTGTATAATTATGTTAGCTCAGAAATTGGTTTCGAAAAATGAACTGCTGGAAAATATTCTGAGTTGGAGTGACATCCGTTATTCCCAAAAATAATGGCGAAAGAGAAAACAATAGTCAAAATTATGTCAAGAACGAGACCATCAAGGGACTTACTTTGATTCCTCGTGGTCGTCCGAGTGAAGACTAGCGTTGGAAATGTACCTTTCTGAGGAGTGGATTCGGGAAGCTCCGTTGAAGCAAATCTTCGCTCTTGATAATGACATTCACAAAACAAAACACTTTTGATGTTGACAAATATATTTTCAATGATGATTACTTCGACATGAGCATCGGAGTTCATTCCGTAGGATATTTAAAGTCAATATATGGGACAAATATGTTTTTTGGTAATACGCTGTTTTTTTGCCTTTGAGAAGGTCATGAACGTTTCTTGTAGGTGGAACGTTGCACTGATCCCTTAATGTTCGATACAGCGCGAAATATTTATATTTACAAAATAAATTAAACTGAATTACCAATTGAGCTTTCCCAAACAGAACGTTTCCAAAGTGAATTTCAAGCTGCTTTATTTTTCATTCATAATGGTGAGAAGAATTGAGGAACAAATTACTAATTTATAAATTGAATCCAAATTCAATAGCCATTTCGGTATATATAAATTTCTGGTTGGTTTTAAGTGTAGACGTTTTTTCAGTGGTGTAAGAATAGCGGTACTTGCAGATCTCCATATGGAAATTTAATATTTCAGTTGAAAATATATGAGACTATAATAAGAGTCTATCAATTATTTGCGATCAATATGATTTCCTATCCTACAAAAAATACCAATAATTGGTAGAATTTCTTCTACAATGAGTTTGTTCTGAGATTTTCATCAATATAGAGTAATTGAAATTTTTCGTAGTTTTTGTATATGATTCGATCAATTCCAAATTTGAGTGAGGGATATCAATTACATTTTTTCAGAGTATTAACCAGGAAGAACTTTATACGAAGTGTATGAAAATATATAAAATTTTAAAAATTAAAGTTGTCCATGATTATCATATCAGTAAACTGTTTCAATATAGATCGATCTATCAAATCAAACTTTGTTACTCATGATCGCTGAACAGAAGAAAAATAATACCAAATTCCTAGATTTTCAAAACAAATTGATTTTTTTTCGAAAAATGAACTCTCACTTTTACATTTTTTGAATTAAAGAAATGAAATTTCACTATTAAATGTTTTTTTTTTTATTTTGTTGAAAAATTGTTCTTAGGATTAATAATAAGAAGCTCAAGTTACTATCGTCATGCATGAACACTTGAAAATTATGTACCTCAGCTTTCGGAGTACCTCCTTTAATTTTTGGGAAAGAAAATTTTTGGTTTTCTACTGCTCCATCTTTACATAAAAATGTAGGATTCTTCCAAAGAAAGAAAGAAAGCAATCAATTCCAAAAGAAGTAATTCTATATATGTATATGTGAAGATTATGCAAAGGAGTAACTTTCAGACACAAACTGGAAGAAAAAGCCCTCATGAAACAGCTACTTTCCTATAAATATTGAATTACAAAAAAAACAAGTACTTTTATATGAACCCTGAATTATATAAAAAAACTTTTCTCCACTCTCCCAAACATTCGTTATGGAATCGAATCAAATATCATTCACAGGATTTTTAGACAATATACTGAATGAAAGGTGAAAATTTCCACTTACATGGAACACTGTCATTCTTTCTGGTAGACATCGATGTTTCGCTACAAGACAGTTGCCTCAGAAAAACACACAATTTATTTCTCATTTATCGAATATTTTTTGCCGGTTCATATTCTCATTTTCAATAAGTTATTCAATTTGGAAAACACGTAAAAAATGTATTGAATCAGAGGAGTTTCTATCTTAAATCGTACGTTTCATGGCTGTATATTTCCCGACAAATAGAAGGCCGTAGGCTTCGTGAGTCTGGAGTGTCTTCATAACAGAATTGTTTCGTCTGGAGCCTATAAAGTCGTCAGGAGTTTAGACTCTCTCCTCTGCACGGTCCTTGACCATATTTAACACAAATATTTTTAAATAAGCATAGGTCACAAAATTATTTCTTCTGGTACCTGTAAAGTCGTCAGGAGTTCAGACCATCTCCTTTGCACGGTTCTTGACCATAAATAAGAAGAGGTCGCAGAATTGTTTCGTCTGGAGCCTGTAGAGTCATCAAGTTGTAGAAGAGGTCGTAGAATTATTTTGAGGCTAGTTCTCAAGCAGGGGTCGAACTTGGCTTAGATTTGCACACTGAACGAAGTTACCAAAATTTTTTCACCGTGATGGAACCAGTTCAATGAAAAACCCATATAAAAACCGCAGAGATCAGTTCACTCATAAGGATAAACCAGTGCAGAAAACGAAACCCATCCTGTATTTTCGTTTTCTTATCAACTAATCGACTTTCTTTGGAAGTTACCCGTTACTTCCAATTATTTCCTTGATATTATAACTTTAATCAAGAAATTCTCATAGACCGCAAGCTCATACTAAAATTTCAGGAATTCTTCCAGTACTTCTTGAAAATGAATGTTTTATTATAGTACTGAAGTAGGAAATGCGTTTGATAAATAAGAGGAAGGTAAATTTATCAAAAAGTACAGTGTTCATCAACCCAGATACTAATTACTATCGGGATTTTTCCAGACCAAATACCGTAAAATAAAGTAGGACAGGAAAACAGTTTCAGAAAAAAAATATCTCTATATATGTAGAGGTCATAAATTTCGGAATGGCTTTCATGAAAATAGTTCTATATATCAAGAGTGATTTATTGAGCATAGCCTAGAAATTGGTTGGTCCATAGTGGTCATTTGATTCATTAGGTTTTAATGAAATATCGAATTTTATGCAGAGAGCAGAAATATCAAATTGAATTTTCCACTCCGAGTGACTTTTTCACATAAAAGCTATGACAAGACTCAATCCACGAATACCAAGGATAAATGTGGCTCTGGTTTCATCTAACCTCTTCGAAGGTATCAGTACATGAATAATGCCATTGCCCTGTGCTGCCCTGGCTCGAAAGCCTTTCAGCTAGGCATCTTCCCTCTATCCTAGCATCACCACTGCCAAAGGACCCGTGCTCACCGAGGGTCAAAGACCCATAACTTTATTGAATAACAAACCAAATTTACATTTGTTTACAACTTTCAGAAAACAATAAATTGAACTTAACTAATTATACTTAACTATAAGTTTCTCTCTAAGGTAATACATAACTGATTAAACTTAACTAAATGACTCTCTCTGAGGTAATA